ACCCACAGGTGAAAGAGATGTACTCTTGCTCTGGAGTGTGTTACTGAATATGTTAAAGCTGTAGTGAAAAGCTTCTTCTAATCATGTAGTTATTAAAAATTAAAAATATATACGATGATTAAAAAAATAATTCTTCAAAGCATAAAAATTTTCTCCTTAATAATTAGTAGATGTGGAAAACATTACCATTGAAATCTACCTGATGACTTTATATCCATGCTCAGATGCCAAGCAGGCTACTTTAAAATTTTTTTTACAAGAACTTTACTGAGAATTTCACACATGTATAAGCAGGCTACTTTAAAATTTTTTTTACAAGAACTTTACTGAGAATTTCACACATGTATATAAGGTGTTTTGATTTAATCCATGCCTACTCCCTTCCCTCCAACATTCACCTCTCTGAAGAGGTAACCCTAAAATTTTTGAAGGATTAGATATAAGCTCCCAAATACTTTTGACATTGTTGTCCTTTGGAACAGATTATGTTGCTAACAGGCCCAAGGACATTTTGACTTTTAGCCAAGAAACTGACTACATTTCTTTGGGATCTTTTTACCTAACTGCCTAGCCAATTCCTACCTCCTATTCCCAAGTTTTTAAAACAATATATTTTTATTGAGTTTTATTTATATTTTATATAATGGATCTTAATCAAATTTAGACCACCTCCCCCACTTGTGCCCCACATACCCCCCACCTGGATTTCTTGCATTCTGTCATGTGTGCTAAGTCCTATCCTGTCAAGCTTTTGTACCCAGATGTCCCTTGGTGCAAGTTCATCCACTGGTCTAGTCAGCCTACCTAGAGTCACTTCCTTATGGATAGCTAAACTCCCTAATCCAGATGAAATCAGTTGCTAATAGCCCTAGTTCTTTGGTTGGGGCCTGTTGCACATTTCCCTCCTTCTATGCTGGGTTTTTGTCTGATTGAGTTGGCAGGTTTTGAACTTCAAGTCACTATTACCATGCTCCAAATTAGTGGTTCTCGTTAAAACTACTTGGGAAGTTTTGTTTTCTGTTTTTTGTTTTTTGTTTTTTTCATTTTGACACCTAGCCTGGCCCCAAACTCACTAGTATCAGAGAATGACCTTGAACCTTTGGTTTATCTGCCTTAACCTCCCAGATTCTGAGACTACAGGTATGTACTACGATGCCAGATTTATGCAGTGCTAGGAATTGAACCCAGTCTACAAGCATGCTAGGTACGCAATCTAACCAACTGAGCTGCATGTCTGGCATCTGAAAAGTTTCTAAGAACTAAATTTTTTAAAAAGTAACAAAGATAGTACAGAGAGTTTCTACAAGCCCTACCACTGAGGCTACCACAGGAAGTTGTTTTCAAAATGTGTCACTCAAACTTGTAAAATGGGCTTCTCTAAGGATAAAATCCAATCATCAGTATTTTTTGAAGCTTCTTCCCACATACATTCAAGATGAAGCCAAGTCTGAGAACCTCTGCTCCAAAACCTTCCCAAAGAGAAAGAAGCCAACCAACAGCATGCCCATTGCTTGGTGGCATGTTCAGAATACAACCGTATAGGCGGCTAGGTATAGTATATATTTATAGTACATATTTGCTGTGTATAGTGCATATTCACATGATGACAAAGTAGTGTTGCAGAGATTTTAAGTCTCATCATTTAGAAGCTGGCTTGTGGTAGCTAAGAAACATCAGAGAATGATTTGTTATTTAAGAGTATAATTGCTAACAGTCTTGAATTAATTACAAAACAAGGCTGCTGCAGCAACATAAAACAAAGATCTGGGAAACCTGTTTCACTTCTCATCCTGGGGACTGCTTGTAGTTATTTAGTTTTGATGAACATTTGTATCAGTGATTTCAGTATGTTTCTGGGGCTATGGTCACACTTTTTGATGTTTGGTTTTGTCTTACCCAAGTAGACAACATACAGTTGATTATAGAGAAATCAACCAGTGCAGAAAGCACATTGGAAAGGAAACCATTTTCAACCCTTCCCAAATGTATATCTCTAACGAATTACTTGCAGTTGGTTGACTTGTTAGTATTTCCATTTGTAATTATGAAATGATTGTCTCTAATTTCTAAGTTATTTCAAACTAGGTTTTAAGATAATAGACAAATCACGCCTAAATAACTTTGAGCACTTGCTTAAACACTATTTTTATAAAGAAACAAATCATATGAGCCATTTAGTGCTTAACATCATTCAATAATTTTAATTTGGTCTGCAGAATCAATATTTGATCCTAAGTTCTCATAATGGGATTTTAAAAAAATTCTGAGGTCATAACATCAGTCTGTACTTACAGATGGTGATGAACTCTCACCTCAATAAACGAAAATCCTTTCAGCAGAGGGCAATTAAATAATTTTTAAACTTTTTTTTTGCTTTCGTCATTCACTTACAGAAGCAGTGTCGTGAAAACATTTTACTTTGGAGATTGAATTGGAGATGAGGTACTTCTACCTAGAGCTAGAAGAGGAGATGAGTGATTGGGTAAACAGAGGCTACGGACAAATGAGTCTTGATGTAGAGCCAATGCATTTCAGAGTTGCCAGGCAAACTAGCAGTTATTCAGTTTTATCCTCAAGGATCTTAGCTTTAAAAAACTGTGGCTTGCCACTGAAGTTCAGTGCCAAGTCCACAAACACCATCTGTGCTCTTCAAGTCTTCCTCTCTCCTCCCTTGCAGAAAATTTCCTTGCTTTAAACTCCAGAGAGCAGCGAGAAACCATCTGAGAAAGATCTTTGAGCTTCTCAGGTAGCCTTGCTATCTACAGACCATGTGGTTTCTCATGTGGCTCAGCTGTGTTAGAAGGTGCCTTTTTATCTCTTCATTCTGCATCCACCTAACACTGGAACTCATACGGTACCAAACCTTTGGAGGTCCTGATTTATCTGCCGTGTACATGCTTTGGGGTTCTTTTCTGTTGGCTCTTCCTCAGCTTATAAACAAATTTAAGACTCTCCTATCTCAGGTAAAAATGTGCATACGTGTATGTGTATGCATACTCACATCTGGACTTTCAGGTAAATGACTAAGGTGACTTTACCCAGATATGATGGACACATGCATGATATATCAGCCCTTTGGCAGCTGAGGCAAGAAAATTACAAGTTCTAGACCAACCTGGGATACATAGTGAGACCTTGCCTCAAAACGACAACTAAAGACCTGACCTTGATACATGTTTTGAGAACGTTTTTCATTCATGGACTATACAAGTTGAAAAAAAATGGTAAACAAACATGTAAAACAATGGTACTAAATGATAAATGCTGGTGAACTATGAAACCATGAACCTGAAACTGCAGGACTGATGGGTCTGAGTCTGGAAGACAGAATCCATCAAGAATTCAGCTCCAGAGCCGAGAAGACAGCTCAGTAGGCAAAAAGCATGCAAAGCATATACAAGGCCCAGAGACTGATTTCTAGTACTGGAAAAAACTAAGCAGGAAATAGACTCCAGAGGTACATCAGTGGTTTTGATGAGTGAGTAGTATTTCATTGTGCGCATGCATCATTATTTTATATAACCAAGCTCCTATTTTTTGTCATTTTTGAGACAGGGTCTCCCTGTAGCCCCATCTGGCTTGGCACTTGCTATGTAGATGAAACTGGCCTCGATCTCACAGAACTCTGCCTGCCTCTACCTCCCAAGTGCTGGGACCAAAAGCATGCACACCACAACCAGCCTCCAAGCTCCTACTTTTGAACAAGAAATTACATACTGAAACCATTTATTGGCTTAGGCTTTTTTCTAATAAACCCATCTAATAATGTTGCATCATATTAATTCATACAATTGGCATGCAACTATAGAGAACAAAAGCACAATTTCAACATATAGTCTAGAAGGGATTGTTTTAAACAAAAGAGTCACGGCTTTGAAATAGGAAATGGTAGCTACCATCACAGAATTAGTAAGATAAAAAAATATCGACTATATTGCTGTGACTGCTATAACAATGCACCACAAAGTTGGTAACTCAGATCAACTACAAAATTCCAAAACCAAGGTGTCAAACTCTCTTGGCATGAATCCCTGCCTTTTCCAGCTTCCTGTGGCTCCAAGTGATCCCTGGCTTACGGCCCCATCACTTCATCTCTGACTCTGTATTCACATGGCCCTTCTGTGTCTCTGCCTTCTCCTTGTTTCTAAGGACATCGGTCATTGTATTTGGGCGTTCATGTGGCTAATATCATCTCAAGATCCTTATCTTCATGTTGTTTGCATCCTTCTCTTGAATAATGCATGTTCACAGACTCTGGACATACAGAAGTAGACCTATCATTTTAATGTCCACCGTTCAGTATACCACAATATTTTTTGTAAGTGTATGGAGAACCCAGGAAGAAAAAAGTAAATCTTTTGATTCAATCATGAATTGGTAGAATGTCAATTAAAAATACTATATGTCATTGTTTTCCTAGATGTAGGTACATATTTGAATAATCTTGTTTAGTTTTTTTCCAGATCAGTCTATAGTTCAAAGTGTGTGCAACCATGATTATCAAGATAAATCAATAGCTCCCTCTTAAACCAGTATTTTTTTTTTCTCTTGAGCGGTCATTCCAGTCAATGTTAGAACGATCTGAACAACAGATTAGGGCTGCTTCTAGCCTGGAGGAACTACTTCGAATCACACATTCTGAGGACTGGAAGCTGTGGAGATGCCGGCTGAAGCTCAAGAGTCTCACCAGCATGGACTCTCGTTCAACATCCCACAGGTCCACTAGGTTTGCCGCAACTTTCTATGACATCGAAACACTAAAAGGTATGTGCGTAAGTATAGCGTTAGATTTTTATTTCTTTATCAGATAGTAACGCATGCACCAATTTCTTCCAGAAGTTTGAATGTATATGTATCGGTACCAGAGGGAGATCAGAAGGCAGTCCTTGACTTCATGGTTCTGGTGTTAATGAAGAAATCTGTTTTGTTTAAAATTTGTATTATATTTATTTATTCACTTATGCATTTGTGGTGATGGCTCATGCTACACTGCACATGTGGAGGTCAGAGGACATCTTATGGGAGTCAGTTCTCTCCTTCCATCATCTGGGTCCCAGGGATTGAACTCAGGTCATCAGGCTTGGCAGCAATTGCCTTTATCCGACTGAGCCATCTTGGCAGTCCAAGAATCCTAATTTTTAAATGTCTACTCTACAAAGAAACACATTGAATATGATTTTGATATTTACAACCAACACAAAAGAACATTTCAAAGTATTGAAGTCAATTTAATTCAGGATGTGAGTGCAAAATATGCAGAAAAAATTTTAATAGGGAAAAAAACAGGTTTATGTTATTATTTTTATTTTCTGTGTGTGAATGTATTGCCTGCATGTAGGTAGGTGTTGTGTAATGCCCACAGAAGTCAGAAGAGGGCATCAGTTCCCCTGGAACTGGAGTTATAGACAGTTGTTAGTTGCCACATGAGTGTTGGGAATCAAATCCGGATTTTCTGCTACAACAGCCAGTGCTCTTAACTGCTGAGCCATCTCTCTAGCCCCAGGGTTACTTTAAAAAAAAGTGCATAATCATCAGCAAGGGTGTGCTTCTGTTATGCATATAGAGACAAAAACCAAGAAATTGGCTATATTTTGTTATTTCTTCAAAATCCTATGGTTTTTCAGTAAAAGTGAAACACAGAAATTGGAAGATGAGGCCTAATAATGGGTACTTGTGTTTCTCAAAAAATAATGAAGAAAATTGTTAACACAAAGTAATCAAGGCTTAGGACTACAAAATAATACACAGCCAGCCCTCTGCATCTGCAGGTACTGCACTCATGGATTCATTCATCCAATCATACAGGTCAAATTTAGGGAAAATTCCATCTATGCTGAGTATATGCAGCCTTCTTTCTCTTGGCATATGATGTACTATAACAACTATTTATATAGCGCACGTGCTTTTCATTGGTTATCAGAAGCCATTCAGAGAAGATTTCAAATGTACAGGAAGGTGTACATAGGTTCTGTGCACATTGTATCCCAATTTATATAAGGGACTTACTTGGTCACCTGCAGAAGTTAGTGTCTCTGAGGTGTTCTGCAACCAATCCTTCACAGTTATCAAGGGACCATTGTCCTTCCAAATTGCTTCCTGAGGGGCCAAGGTCATGTAGTGTCTACTTAGGCCACTTTAATGACATCCAGTTGAGACAGAGATTCTTCACAAGGAGATCATTGTGTGTGTGTGTATACACACACACACACACACACACACACTGTGGTGCAATGAATGAACTATTTGTAAATAAAGTTGTGTGGCCTTGATTAGGCATTTAGATCTTTGATGGTATATCAAAACAACACAGGAGGCTATGGTGACATTATTCACCTTATAGATTTGAATATGACTTCCTAGGATACAAGTATCTCTATTGCTTAATTTTAATTGACTCGTAAGCAAACATTATTTTATTTCTACCCAGGGTTGTCTTTTTTTCTTATTTATTAAAGAATAATGATGTTGCACAGGACTTAGGTTTCGGGAAAGCTGTGCATAGATGAGGGGAATCTCTCAGCAGCACATTGGCCACAAGTATGAAGATTCTTTGTGTTCTTGTGTAGGACTGTGTGTTTAAATGAGTTCAGACAGTGGGAACTATAGTCGGGGCTTTGAAGGTCTAGTTGTTTGTTTGTGTGGCAAATTGACATGCACTTCACATAAACAAGCCCATATGAAGACTAAATATTTTGATCAGATTACCTGTCTAATGGCTTGAGGGGAATGCACAGATGCCCTGGAAACACAATATTACCATAAAACCAAGACTCGGTGATTTGAAAAAGGCAGTGAGGTTGACATTTTCTAAGGAAGAAACCATAAAACATGATGGAATTTGCAATTCACAGTTTTCCTCCTAAGTACGTGGGGGATTATCTAAAGTTATTTACCAAGTTAGAGGCAGAAAATAATCAAGTAAGTGTATCACACCAATTATGTCTTGTTATTAATTCCCTCTCACAGATTTCAGAATAATTCCCTGGGCAGTAGTACAGAACACTGGAGTTATGAAATGTTAGTCTGTGGTAGTGCTCATAACTACATGAGATTTTTTTATTATGACCTCCAACTTTCAAAACAGACTTTTAAAGAGAAAACTCAAGTAGAAAGTAACATTTAAGGAGGATTTTAGATTAGGGATATTTTCACACGCTGGTTGCTATTTTTTCAAAGATTCATGAGTAATAGAAGCAAATTAAATAACATCCCTATTAATAATTAATTTGGCTCTCGTGCATACAGCTTGAAGGCTTTCTATATAAATCATCATTGGGAATTTTTTGAAGGTTTCTCAGAAGATCTGTGTAATATAAAAATGTTTAAAAAATACTGGCTCCTTGGCCAGTCAAACATATTATTTTCTAGTTTTAGTCCTTGAACAAGCAACCTATGAGGAAAACTGGGATTAATGAATGGAAAAGGAAAATGTGTATTGAATAGATTTTTTAGAGGACTAGGGCCAGAACTGAAACAGTGATACACCTATGTACTTGAAACACAGGCTCTCTCTGTGTCTTCTGATGGAAACATGTTTGTGTATATGAAAATCCAGAATAAAAGGGGGGTGGAGATAGCTCAGTGGTTAAGAGCACTGACTGCTCTTGCAGAGGACCAGGGTTCAGTTCCCAACACTTACATGGTGGCTAACAACTGTCCGTAACTCCCATTCCAGGAGATCCGATGCCCTCTTCTGACTTCTGTGGGAATTGTAGGACATGGTGTACTTACATAAATGCAGGCAAAACATTCTTACACAGAAAATAAAAATAAAAGCGAATCCAGAATAATCTAAGGAGAGATCAATACACATTTTTAAAGAAAATGTAGAGAAGTGTTTGTCTATTGCTCCTTATTACCCCCCCCCCAAATTTGGCTTTTGGAACAGCCATTCTGTGTGTTTGTCCATGTGTGTGAGTGTACTTGAGGGTGCACACATATGTTTGGAGCATATAGATGTGTGAGCATATGTGTGTGAAGTCCAGTGAACAACCTGGGGTTTCATTTCTCAGACACCATCCCCCCTCCTAGATAACAGACATTTTAAATATTTGTGTGGAGCTGAAATACAGGTGTGGGTTAGATTGTTTTCTCTCCTTCAAAGTTTCTCTGGAGGATACAAACAAAATATCGGCCTGGGTTAAAAGCATCTCAAGGCTCAACAGGGCAGGATGTGTTTCCAAGTTCATTCAGTAATTGTTTGTACAATTAAGTTCCTCACAGGCTCTTGGGCTGGGACTTACAATTCCTCACTGGCTGTTGGCCAGAAGCCACTTTCAGTTTTATAGCACATAGGTCTATCCATCGTGGCCATGAAGAAACCTGTGAGCCAGAAGAGGAGTAGAGTGATGTGAAAAACTCTTGTGGTAGGCAGCTTCAAAAGTGACCCTCAGGCTATAGAAATGGCTTAGAGGTTAAGAGTATGTAGTGTACTTGCAAAGAACAAGAGTTTAGTTCCCAGCACTCACATCGGGCAGTTCATAACAACCTGTATAACTCTAGCTTCAAGTTTCCAATGCCTTCTTCTGGCCTCTTCAGACACTGCACTCAAGTGCATGCACACACAGCAGTACACACACACATTATCACACACACACATATTAAAAATAAAATAAATCAGCCGGTGTGGTGGCACACGCCCTTAATCCCAGCACTCAGGAGGCAGAAGCAGGCGTATCTCAAGGCCAGCCTGGTCTACATAGTGAGTTCCAGGACAGCTGGGGCTATAGGAAGACCCTGTCTCAAGAAGGCCAAAATAAAATAAAATAAAATATAATATAATAAAATAAATCGGGGCTGGAGAGATGGGTCAGAGGTTAAGAACACTGGTTATTCTTGTAGAAGACCCGGATTTGAATCTCAGCAACCACATGGCAGCTAACAGTTGTCCGTAACTCCAGTTCCAGGGGATCCAAAGGCCTCTTCTGTCCTCCGCGGGCATTGCACGATAAGAGTGCACTCACCTACATGCAGGCAATACACACATACACATAAAATAAGATGAAAAATAATAAATAGAATAAAAAATAAAAATAAAATAAATCTTTAAAAAACGACCCTCTGTGAGAAATGATGGGGAGCAAGGGAGGGAGAAAGGAAGAGGGAGGATGGGGAGAGAAACAGAGACAGAGGGAGGGGGGGAATGGAGAAGGAGGGAAGGCAGGGGAAGAGGGAGGGCAAGAAGGGAAAAAGAGAAATGTTTTTTATTTTTTAATTCATGTTTATTTTTATGTGCATGAGTGTTTTGCCTGCATATATGTAAGTGTACCCGTGTCATTCAATGCCCAGAGAAACCAGGAGAGGGCATTAGATGCCCAGGAACTGGAGTTACAGTTATGGATGGTTGCTAGATGCCACGTGGGTGCTGGGAAACAAACCCAGGTCTTCTGCAAGAGCTGTCAGTGCTTAACCACTGAGCCATCTCTCCATCCCCAAGAGAGAGAATTCTTAAAGCTAGTCACATAAGTGACACCCTGTTTCTTTTACTGTATTCTCTTCATGAGAAGCCGATTACTCAGTTTCACTCTCACACAAAAGGAATGGGAAACGGCACAGGGCATGACAACCAGGAACTGGGGATCACTAAGGATCAGTTTTGAGGCTGATCCTAACAGAAGAAGTTTTCAACACATTCCTAACAGAATAAAGTTAATAGCTGTATCCATAAGAAGTTGAAAGCAAGTCTTTAAGTGCTATTTTTTTTTTTTAAAAATGAATCTTTTGCCCCCAAAACAGCTTTGGAAAGGCTGCTACACAATGTTAGATGTAAAGGCTCAAAAAATATAACTCAAAAAAAGGTTGAGAGTGGGGCCACAGAGATGACTCAGTGACTAAGGCCATATACTGATCTTGCATAGGACCTGTGTTTGATGCCCAGCATTCACATTGGGCAGCTCACAACTGCCTGTATTCCAGCTCCAGGGGATCTGACTCCTCTGGCTTCTGCAGGCACTCACACTCACATTCACAAACCCACATACATACATATAATTAAAAACAGAACAACTCCTTAAAATGAATCACTGCTTTACAAGAAAACACGATTTTCTTTACATGCCCGTGTGTATGTGTACATATATTCTTGAATGTGGAGGCCAGAGGCTAATGTTGGGCATCTTCCTCAGTTGTTCTCCATGTTAGTTTTTGAAACAGGTCTCTCACTGAACCTGATTTGGCTAGACTGGCAGTCAGCCCCAAAGATTCAGCTGTCTCTGTCTTCACAGCACTGATATTACAGGAGTGCACCACCATGGCTAGCTTTTTATGTGGGTGCTGGGGATCTGAACTCAGGTCTTCATCCTTATACAGCCAGTACTTTACCCACTGAACCATCTCCCCAGCCAAGTAATTTTCATTATTTTCACAGAGATGTGTTTATTTTTTCCTGGTTTCCCTCAAATTAGTTATGGCCAGAGGATTGCTCTTTTCATTAAAATGAAAGGGCTATTTCATCATCTTATATAAACACCAGTATTGGATATTTCCAAACGTGAAAACTGATTTGAAAACAGATTGGTTCCACTGGAGTATCCACACATGTGGTTGCCAGGTTGAAGTCTTAGTGCAATTACTTGAGCACCCAAAAGAAACACATTTCTTGATGGTTCTAAAACCTAGTCATATCTAGCTTCAAGCAGAAGAAATGCTATCCAGCTGTAGTCTCTAAATTGCTTGAAAAATAACATTCACATGTTATGTCTTCACATGCTTCCACTGATGTCCTTATTATGCAGCTTTTGCAGATTGACCCAGTGTGATGTACAGAAAGGACATAGTGCCCTCCCCCCACTAGGGGGAAATAGTCAAAATGGAAAGGAACAAAGGAACATGTGTTTCAATTTTCTTTTTTCAAACAATCTTTGGTTAAAGAGCTAACAAAAATACCCATCTAGGGGACTAGAGAGATGGTTCAGTGCTTAAGAGCACTGACTGTTGTTGCAGAAGACCTAGGTTCGATTCCCAGTGCCCACATGGCAGTTAACAACCATCCTTAACTCCAGTTCCAAGGGAATTTGATGCCCTCTTCTGTCCTCAACAGGCATTGTATGACACAGGTGCACTTACTAAATGCAGGCATGAAAACAAAAATACACAAAAGCTAAAAATAATAAATAAAATTTAAAAAAATTTAAAAATACCCATCTAGTAAATAAACAAGTGGGAGAAAACATGAAAATGCTCATGTTTGCACATCAAGGCCATTTTCTCTGCAGGTCTTAATGAGCTTTATTTCTGAAGTTATAGATGAGGAGTGGCAAAGAACCCAATGCAGCCCTAGAGAGACATGCGTGGAAGTCGCCAGTGAGCTGGGGATGACGACCAACACGTTTTTCAAGCCACCTTGTGTGAATGTATTCCGATGTGGAGGCTGCTGCAATGACGAGAGTGTGATTTGTATGAACACAAGTACCTCATACATCTCCAAACAGGTATGAGGATATGAGACAGCGACCACTCACCTTGATGTCAATCACTACGCTAAATACTTTATGTGCATAACTTATTTAATTTCCCCAAACAAGCTAAAAGGATACCTTTTCCTCCTTTACAGACAAAAAAAAATTGAGGCTCAGAGATGTAATAGTAAAATTACATAGCTGGTGCATGGCAGTCTCAGGGTCTGAACTCTCTCATCAGTTACCATCTCTCTAATACCAGGAATCAGAAAACATGGAAGTTACTAGACCAGGGTGTTAAGAGGAGTAAAGAAAGTTCTGTTGTCTTATGTATGTGTTAGGGTCTGTGCTGTTCAATTGGAGTGACTGAGAAGAGTTTAATGAAAGATGTGGACAGGGTCGGAGGAAGAGGGAAAGAAGGATGCAACAGGGCCAGCCAAAGTTGGGGGGTGTTCTCATTCTAAAACTGAGGAGGCTGAAGGAGCATACACATACAGGAACCCAGAGGGAAAGTGACAGAGGGCTGCTCATTCAGCAGCTGCCAACCAGTAGTGTGGCAGGGAATACAGGCAGGCTCTGGGAGAGGCAAGAGAATCAAGGCTCTGTCATGGAGGCCAGTGACCAAAGAGGCAGAGCCTGGCAGGGAAGATAAGAAAGAAGATGGTATCTCTGGGGGTTGTGGGTGAGCAAAAGGAGAATATCCAGCACAAAAGACCCTTGAAAAACTCCTACATCTCAAGAGAAGAAATATTCTTGTCTTCTCTATTTCATAAAATTCCCTTCACCCAGAAGATAAATATTCCTTTCTATAGCTGAAGTAACGACCTTACAGAAACATTATTAAAATGCTATTTATTAAACTACACTCCTTTTGGTTCTCGGTTGCAAATTCCTCACATGTTAGTACAATTCTTTTGTCACATTTGCTTGTATAATATCATATCCTCACAATCATGAGGTAGTAAAATAAAATGACATAGGCACCAAAGGTATCATTGTGAAGGAATTTTCTGGATTCCAATTTGTTTTGTTAATGAGATTAACTATTCTTTAAATTTTCTTTAAAATTTTTATTTTTATTTTATGGTATGAATGTTTTGCCTGCATGTATGTAAGTACACCATGTGCATGCCATGCCCACAGAGGCAGTCAAATCCCATGGAACTGGAGTAACAGGAAGCTTTAAGACCCGGGACATGCGTTCTTGGAACTGAACATGAGCCCTCTGCAAGAGCAGTAAGTGCTCTTAACCACTGAGCCATCTCTTTTGCCACTAAATTATTTTTAATTATGTTCCCCTTACCATCCAAACTATCTGCAAAACTGCAGTTTCACTCTGTCTAAATCTTTTTAGAGAATTTCTGGACTTGCAAAAATCTAACCTCTACCACTGGACAATTAGAAACAATGGCATAAGCCTCAACTGTCAGTAGAACAAAGCTTGCATAATGTAAGAGGGTTTATTATTATTCGCTGGAGGGTGTCTGAAGAACTGTGCAAGAATATGAAGTTAATGTATAGTAAACACTCTGCAAACAACCCTTCCTTATGTCAGTGAAGTTCCATTCCGTGTTGAAAGGTGAGAATAAACACAACCTTAGTGGATTGTTTCCACTTAGATTGTTGAGCACTTTTTCACTTGCTGTAGTCAACAAATGATTGATTTTAAGGAATATACTGAAGTGTAAGCGTACAGCAGTTTTCCTTTCCAAATGGGAGTACATGAACAGTTTAACAGTTCTAACCTCAAAGGCACGAACTACGTGGTAAACCACCTCTTAGAAACAACGTATATAGCACTACATGGAGTGGTGAATATATAGACAGTTCCTTAAAATGAAGTTCAAATTCATAGATACATCATGGAACCACCCTAGAAAGTTATATAGTCTCTTTGTACATTTATTTCTTCATCTGTAGTCTAAAGGTAATAAGAAAGCACCTATACTGTTTGTATAAGTAATAAATTAATAATAAAGTACAACAGGGCATGCATATAAGAGTATAGAAAGAATGTATACATATTTATATTTAGTTGTATTTGTCTGGGTGTGATCGTATATCAGTTACAAATGCTATATGCAAATGCCCAGAAACTTGGTGTTTTCAAACCAGAATGAGTTGTTGGGTATGGTGGCACACGCCTTTAATCTCAGCACTCGGGAGGCCAAGGCAGGAGGATCTCTGTGAATTCAAGGCCAGCCTGGTCTACATAGCAAGTTCCAGGCTAGCTGGGGCTACAGGGAAACCATCTCTTAAAAACAAAAAACAAGCAACATCAAACCATAATGAGTTATTCTTACTCATGCATGTAAAGTTCGAAATGCTCTAAGTGGCAGTGTGAGTCCAAGCCTGCTTCCCGTGTCTCTAATTCCATGGGTCAGCATGACTGATAGATTATATCCTTCTCATAGCATATCATAAACCAGACATAATAAGTCTTATAAAGCTTACGCAGTCCCAGTTTGTACTTGGTGTAATGTCAGCTGATAACTTATTGGTCAAAATAATGTCATGACCAAGTCTAATGTCAAGAGGTAGGACATTATCTGCTGTCAATAGAAATAGTATGAGAAGAGAAAATTAAGTAGTTTGCATAATTAATCCACCAAAATCTCAACCGCCCTCCATAGATTTAATCTCATTTATTCTTACAGTTTACGCTCAAATTTAAAACAACAGCAGGGACTAATGGTAGCATTTACATGGACCCTAGTGACACCAACAAGAACAGATTTGAAAAACATTTAGATACTTCACAAAACTGGATAAGCACCTGGTCTCCTGACTCTCAGCTCATATCATAACTAACTCCATTCCTAATGGATAACTTCACTAAAGTCATGACCATTAATGACAAAGGCAAAAATGAAGACTGGAAATTTAAAACTATGCATATGATAAAATATACATTATGGTTCTCTTTCTCTGCTATAGCTTTTTGAGATATCAGTGCCTTTGACATCAGTACCCGAATTAGTGCCTGTTAAAGTTGCCAACCATACAGGTTGTAAGTGCTTGCCAACAGCTCCCCGACATCCATACTCAATAATCAGAAGATCCATCCAAAACCCAGAAGAAGATCGGTAAGGGTTTCTTGGACTTGATAATGTCTGTTCTTGCCGTTGGCAAAGCTCTGTGTAGATGCCTTTATTCCGTTATTAATGATAGTCATTCTCAAAAGTCAGCTATTGCATGTTTTCTCTCTTATGTGGAATCTTCAAAAAAAAAGAAAGAAAGGAAAAAAAGAAATGAAAGTAGAAGGCAGACTTTCAGGGAAAAGGAAGACGAGGGGACAGAGGGGGTAAGAAGGCGGGAGAATGTGAAGGAAGTTCATTTTATGCTTGCATGGAGATGTCACAGAGAAACCCATTCTGTTGTCTACTATACAATAATAAAAATGTTAAGAAACAAACAGAAAAATTACAAGTAAAATTATAGAATCATTACCTCTTTATTAAAGCTCATTCTTTAGCTTCAAACTCAGATTTATTTATAGTATTTGACAAACATATTTTAATAGGTGTTAGATATATATTGCAGTAGAATGTCAAACCTTGGTAGTATACATACTTATAGACACCTTTGTTTTTCTTTCTTTCTCTCTCTTTCTTTCTTTTTCTCTTTCTCTTTCTTTCGTTTTCTCTCTCTCTCTTTCTTTCTTTCTTTCTTTCTTTCTTGTTCTTAATGAGTACTTAGATGCATTACTAAACTGGCCCAATCTCACGTTTAGTATATGTTCCCTCATTCCAGAACAAGCAATAATAAAACTCAGTTCAGACTTTGTATGCTTACTCCGGAAATGAGAAACAAAGAGAAAAGATTCTTGGAGTTCTTGGGAACTGGCATAACTATCAGTATATGAGCTTGGCAACTTTCCAAACTTTCTCCTTAAGACCACCAAATGGAAAGTTCTTAAAGTAAAACAAGTCAAAATTCATTTTACTTTTAAATTATATTGAGGCTAATTTTGTGATTCTGTCTAAGACGAGTTCTTACAGTTGTGATGTGTTTGAAACCCAAAGGCAATGCTCATTGACTTGGGGACAAAAGGATTCAATAAGGGGAAATAAATAAAGATCAAAGTACAAACATTGAATGAAAGGTAAGAACACTAAGTAAATCCAATGGTTTGCAGAAGTAAAGCAAAAACGATATTGTGTGAATGGCATCAGTGTGTGATGATATGTTACTTAACACTAAGCCAAGAAGATATGTCTACTTCTCTCAAGCAGAATAGAAAACATGTAGAAAAAGAACTTTGAGTCTAAGATGGCCTTCTACCTTGGTCAGTGTTATGTCTGTCATAAAGAAAATAATCTTAGGAGCTATGTTAGAACAATATTTAACTTTGGCAAATAAACTGTTGGCAGATAGATAGAATTTGCATAGATTCAACCAGTATCGTGTGTGTGTGTGTGTGTGTGTGTGTGTGTGCGCGCGCGCGTGCGTGTGTGTGTGTGTGTGGTGAATGTAGAGGGTAAGTGAGGACACTGGGTATCTATCACTCTTCACCTCACTGAACTGGAAATTCCTCATAATGGCTATACTGCCTGTCTCCGACTATCCCCTCCCATGCAATGCTGAGGATGCAGGCTCTCAAAGACATGTTCCAGCTTTTTTTTTAAACTTTTTAAAAAAGTTTAGTTATTATTTTTATTTTATGTGTATGCGTGTATTGCCTGCATGTAGGTAAGTGCACCCATGTCGTGCAATGTCCATGGAGGACAGAAGAAGCTGTTGGATCCCCTGGGACTGGAGTTATGGACCATTGTTAGAGAGTTACGTACAGTTGTTAGCTGCCATGTGGGTGCTGGGATTCGAACCCAGGTCTTCTGCAAGAACAACCTGTGTTCTTAACTGCTGAGCCATATCTCCAGACCCACTTTTTTAAAAGTAAATAATTTATTGAGAATTTCATACATGCATATAAGGTGTTTTCATCAAATTCATGCCCACTCCCTCCCCTCCAACTCTTCCCATATCTCCCCATCACTTTTTTTCTCATAACTTCATGTACTTTTCTTCTTCTTTGATTTATTTTTTATGGGGCTTTTGGCTTCTCTAACATTGCCCCTTCTGAAGAGGTAACCCTAAAATATTTTAAGGATTAGAGAAAAGCTCCCAAATATTTTCAACATTTTTGGCCTTAGGAACAGAGTAGGTTGCTAAGAGGCCCAAGGACATTGTGAGTTTTAGCCAAGAAACTGGCTATTTTTCTTTGGTGTCTTTTTACCCTAACTGCCTAGCCAATTCCTACCTCCTATTCTTATCACATCCTCTGAAGAGGTTACCCAAATTGCTGATAGGGAATCGAGATGCAGACCACTCTGCCTTTTTCATGCTGAACAGGGGCACAGGGTGAGGCAATTGCAATACCCCTTCAGTGGGTCTATCTAAGACTCCAAAATTGCATAACTCTTAACTGTAAATTAGCATTTCAAGTTCTAGACAGGGAACTAGAAAAAAGTCAGAACAGGGCAATTTTCAAATGTTCATATGAGAATCCTGTGTAATTTCTTGACAAGGGCTTCCAAAAGCATCCCTCTGTTGGATTCCTCTTCATTTTTCTTTTGTCTTCCAAACCTGGGACATGTCCAGCTTTTTATGTGGGATCTCAGTATTCAGACTCGGGTCTTCATGCTTCCAGTTCAGGCACTCTTTCAATCTCCCCAGCTCCTAACCACAGCATTTTAAAATTTTTATTCAGTTTTATTTTTTGTATATGACTGTCTTCCTGCATGTCTGTAAGTGCATCCATGTCATGCAATGCCCGCCAAAGCCAGTAAAGGACATTAGAACCCCTGGAATTGGAGTTATACACAGTTGTTAGCTGTCCATGTGGGTGCTGGGAACTGAACCTGGATCCCCTGCAAGAGCAGCCAGTGCTCTTACCTGCTGAGGCATCTCTCCAGCCCTGCAGTTACCATCTTTTGAAGAAGATAAACAATTTTCCTAAGTTCCAGTTTGGTTTTTAAAGGTTTCCCAATAGAACATTTATAACTACAGAATTGCCATCTCATAAGATATGGCACATATGTATGAATTAAACTCTTTGTTTTTGTTACTTATTTTAAAAAGATTTATTTTTATTCATGTTTGTGCATGCGCGTGCGTGCGTGCGTGTGTGTGTGTGTGTGTGTGTGTGTGTGTACATGAGTGCAGTGCCCATGGAGCCCAGAAGAGGGCATTGGAACCCCTGGAGCAGGAGTTACAGGTGGTTGTGAGCCACCTGGGGTGGATGCTGGAACTACAAGAGCAGTACATACTCTTAACCACTGAGCCATCTCTCCAACTCCCAAATGAAGCTCTTACAAACTGTAATTATGCACACATTAATTGTAATTTCTTGTGGTGAGAATATTTGAGTGTGCTCTTTTAGCAATTTTGAAATTATATAATACATTATTATTAACTATCATCACCGTGCTGTGTGACACAGTAGAGCTCAACAATTAGTTATCCTGGATACTTATTAGAAAGAAAATATAAAAGAATAATCATTCTCCGCTCAGAAACTAATTTAATATTACAATAGTAGGATTACTCCATAAAGCTTTAAATCTGGTTCATTGCTTTCTTTTCCTAGCTGTTCCCATCCCAAGAAACTCTGTCCTATCGACATGCTATGGGATAACACCAAATGTAAATGTGTTTTACAGGAGGAACATCCACTCGTTGGAACAGAAGGTAATGACAGCACTAGTGAAATAATAGTAGCAATAAAAAAAGACCAATAGCAGTTAACATGACTGAGTACTTAGCATGACCAGGCAGTGTTACAGTCTTCACAACAATCCTATGATTACCTCTTTTCACAAATACAAAATGATCACAGCAAGATGCCTAGTAATTTCCTCAAGATCACACAGACAACAGTGGCAGAAGCATTTGCATTCCATAATCTTCTCTGTTGTGATTATATAGTAAGTCCACCAATGAATCACTCTGTTGATAATCTCAAAAGAAAAGTCCAAAGTAGGGGCTGGAGAGATGGCTCAGCGGTTAAGAACACTGGCTGTTTGAATCTCAGGTTTCAATCACCCAGTGATTCAAATCACCGGGTTTGAATCCCAGCACCCACATGGAAGCTAACAACTGTCCATAACTGCAGTTCCAGGGGATCCAACAGCCTCTTCTGTCCTCCGCTTACCTACATGCAGGCAATACATGCATACACATAAGATAAAAATAATAAAATATTTCTTAAAAGTCCAATGTAGTTAGAGCATTCCAATACAACTTTTCACAAGTGGATGTTAAGCTTTAAATTAAACTACTTCAGAATAAAACAGTCAGCTATATTTTAACAATTCATTTGTATAAAAATCTCATGGAGACATAAAGTAATTTTGGATATGGTTTCTTTGAATTTCACCATTTGAAAATGGAAATAATTTGACAAAAAGAAAGAAGGAATGAAGGGCTGGAGGGTGGGAGGGAGGGACGGAAGGACGGAGGGACGGAGGAAGGGAGGAAGAAGCAGAAGCAGCTTAAGGAAAAGGTGGCTTCTCTTGGCTTATGTTTTGATGGGGTAGAGTCTATCATGGTGAGGATGGCCTGCCAGTAGGACCTTGAGGTGGATGAATACATTGTATCTACCACTGGGAAACAGAGATGAATGTTGCTGTCCACCAGTCTTTCTTGTTCCTTTTCACCCTTTTATTCAGTTTGGGTTCTCATTTAGAATGGGCCTTTCCTCCTCAGTGAAAGCTCTCTGGTAGTGTCCTCACAGGCACATTCTGAGATGCACCTCCTAGTTGGTTCTAAAATTCAGCCAACAATGGAGATTAGCCATATCATGGGGAAAGGAAAGAAAGCAAGGAACTTTTTAGGAAGCTGTAACAATGGTGGAAGTGAGAAAGGCAGGGTCACAGGGTCACAATCACTTCTAATTTTCAAAACGTGTAATAGCCTCATGGGCCCAAGTTTCTATCCATTTCTCCAGAATTCCCATTAAATTGAGAAAGGTTCCATTTTGTATGTTGAAGTACTTAATGCTTAATGCTTCACTCCCTTTCTCAGAAGTGCCACAAATTCAAGGATTTGTTTTGATTTTTTTCATCCATTTGTTGCTTAAACACACACACACACACACACACACACACAATGGTACAAGACTGAAGAGAGAAGGAATTGGTAACCCAATGTCAACTTCCCTAGGGATGGGAATCAATACATAATACTTTAGGGTATCACCCGCAGTTACTTGCCGTTCCTAGTTCTCCTACATTCAGTCTCTCTTCCTTTTAACATGCCTGTAAGGGCGTAAATACTGCTTTTGCCACATAATGGACAGGGACAGGAATTGTTTCCCTAAACCAAGAATGGAGCTGGGGCTGCATGAAGTGTCTCGTGGATCTCTTCTGCCACCAAGTGGTCAATGCGATTCTTTTAAGAGCCTGAACTGTTTTGCAATAATTGGTCTCTTTCCCTAAAGAGACATCTGCCTCACTGGTTTATGGTGCACACAGCTCTTTTTTTTTTTCCTCTTCATGAAATTTAGAATGAAGTCAGATATCTAGTCCATATAATTTCTAAGTACGCGTCAATTAAAGAGCAACCAAACCCGTGAGACTGAATCATGTGAGACTGTCATTTGGGGTGGGATGGGGGAACAGAGAGGAAGGAGGGGGTTGGGAGGGAAGGAGGGAGGGAGAAGTCTGGGAAGTGTGTAGACTCAGGGTCATGGAATGTCTTTTCTACTTTTATAACCTGGTGTGAAAATTAGTTTTTATTGGGTAAAGGAAAATTTTAAGACATTTAAAACAGGTGTGGTCCTGTGATCAGATTCGCATTTAATAATCATGTGGAGAATAGATTGAAGAGATAAAAGTTGTAGCAGTGACATGAGTGACAGCCATCTACATAAGAAACACAAGGTTCTGACTCAATTGTGACTGTGACAGTGTGATGGAAAAGAGAGGACAAGAACAAGGATCAGAGTGGACATAGTGACCTAATAATATAGAGGACGATGGTGCCCTTCCCTAAATGATACACACTGGAAGAGAAGCCGCTTTGAGGAAGAAATATTGAGTTTCCTCCCAAACTGTCAAAAATACCAAAACAAAAGAGTCAAGTTTTTCCAAAGTTTCTGTCTCTTCCATTTATTGTTGTTGGCTTTTTTTTTCTTTTTTAAAGACAGTCTTATGTATTCCAATCTAGCCTCAAACTCAATATACAGCTAAGCAGTAGAGGACGACAGGAATTTCTGATCCTCCTGCTTCTACTTCTGGAGTGAGGGCTGGGATTACAGTCATGTACCACCACATGCGGTTTCTGCGGTGCTGGAGATTGAATCCAAGACTTTTCGTACATGCTAGACAAGCACTCTACCAATGAATTACACCCTGGCCCCTGTCTCTTTCAATTTTTTACAATAAACTTGAATTTGCTGGTTAGGACTGGAGTGGAATAGCAGCTATCTCACTGTTTTGCATACCTTTTGGAAATTTCTGTCTAAGAGTGTCAGGCTTCTCAGAGCCTCCCTTTAGTTCATTGCTACCTTTGTACCATTCATAGCAGTAATATGAGGTGAGGAAATATGTCACTGTCGCCACCCTCAGCCCGGACGTTATGAGGTGTATTTCTGCAACATCACGTCTTCTGTTTTTGTCTCCTTTAATCTTCTAAAACACGGTAGAGAACTAGACTTATTCTATATCTTGTTCCTAGTGGTTGGTTGCAAAAATTCATGTTTTCATTAAGTCAACATTCTAAAAATCACATGGAAATACTCAGTTTATGGTATTTTCCCCACATTTTTATTGAGTTTTTGTGCATTTCATATAATAGATCTTAATCAAATTTAGACTTAACATATGACAGTTTACGGTATTTTGATCACAAACCTAAGACTACTCATGAGTTTTATGTTTGTGCTGAGAAATCACAGGTGGATCTCCTTCACCCTGTTCAAAAATTAAAGGCAAAAAATCTATAGGAAAGGAGACAGAGTGGATCCAGGTTCTACTAGGATAATGTGACACTTGCCATCAATTTGGATAATAACATCCAGACTCCAGCAAGGAAAACAACACTTTCCTGTTTCTGTTTAGACTACCCGCATCTCCAAGAACCAGCTCTCTGTGGACCGCAGATGAAGTTTGATGAAGATCGTTGTGAGTGTGTGTGTAAAACACCCTGTCCCAGAGAGTTCATTCAGCACCCAGAAAACTGCAGCTGCTTTGAATGCAAAGAAAGTTTGGAGAGCTGCTGCCAGAAGCACAAGGTTTTCCACCCTGACACCTGCAGGTCAATGACTTTTTTGCTTTTGCCCTAACTTGGTTTATTGACTTTTGATGGACAAATTGATTGGGTGGCATTCCTTCTTAAGCTAAATTTTTCTCACTGCCCAAGGCCCTTTCTCATAGAAATACAGAGATTTGGCAATATGGAACAAGTGAATATGTAGAATGATGATTAAATTGTTTTGTTTTTGTTTTTAAATAGGTCCCATTCTATAGCCCATGCTAGCTTTGAACTTATGACTCTTCTTCCTCAGCACCTCAAGCGCTTGGATTATAGACATGGACCACCACCCTTGCTATTATGAGTTTATAGTTCCTAAGCAAAAATTAAATCAATGAGATTTAAACAATTTGCTTGGGTTAAGGAAGGTTCAACTCAGCAATCTCCCCCTCTCTCGTTCTCTCTTTCTGTATATGCCCATATTTGTGTGTTTGTTTTATCTTTAATGAATAGGGTTGCACTAGATTTGTTTAAGCAAGAAATGTAATGATGAGTAGAACCCTCAGAGGCCATTGATTTGGCTTTATTCACTTTCACAGCTACACAAACTAATCATTGATATATTTTTCATTTGTAAGATTAATTAAATTTGTCCTTTGACAATTTCATGCATGTATGCAATTCATCCTAATTACTCTTACCCTCACCCTCTCTGTCAAGCCTCCTTCCTCCCTACAAATTCTTTTCCCACATCCACATCTTTTTGTTTCGTTTTATGACTCACTGTGTGATTCTGTGTGATGGCGATTTGGAACTATCCATTGGAGCTTAGTGGGCTCAGCAGTGGACACACAACTGAAGAAAATGACTCCTCCTCTTCCGGAATCTATCAGTAGTCAATAGTTCATCAGGGAGGGACAGGGCCCTATGAGCCCCTCTCAGATGCCTGATTGGGTACTGACAGGTTCTGACCTGTGCAGGTCCAATGTAGGTCATCAAAGCTATAGTGAGTTCAAGATTACAATGGCTGCATCATGCCCAGATGGAATTTCACGTGCTTTCTCCCCTATCTTCTGGTTCTTACATTTTTCCACCACCCTCTTCCACTGCGTTCCCTCAACTTTAGAGTAGGTGGTATGAATGCCTTATTTAGAGCTGAGCACTCAAGTGGTGGAGTGCCCATTTAGAATTTTATATTGACATCATAAATACATGTCTGGAAAATTTCTTTCAAAACCATAATCAAATCTAATCAGAACAGAGTGATTTATTTTAAGTCAGTCCTTGCTTCTAAATTCTCATCTTTGCTTTCTTTTGTGACAGCTGTGAGGACAGATGTCCTTTTCACACCAGAACATGTGCAAGTAGAAAACCAGCCTGTGCAAAGCATTGCCGCTTTCCAAAGGATAAAAGGGCTGCCCAGGGGCTCCACAGCCAAGAGACTCCTTGATTGAACTTGCTTCCAAGTTCTCCATCCTTGTCATTTTGAACAGCGTGCTGCTTTGCCAAGTTGCCGTCACTGCTCCCCCACCCCCAACCAGGTATTAGAAAAATAGATTTTACCTTGTGCCACAATGAACCCAGACTTACATTCAACAGTAACTGAGTATCCCCAGTTCACTGGCAAATGACTTCCAGCTGCAGGTGCCCCTGCATACAAAGGCATGGGGAAGCAGGGATCTATGGAGCCCACTTTTTTTGAGGAATGAGATGATTTTGTCTGTCATGTAATGACAGATGCCATGTGATTGATTACTGAGAATGCACGAGGAAAACTGCATAGTCTCCAAGTATCTGGCTAAGTGCAACTCTTATGAATTACTCTGGTTCTTTCTCACACAGAATCTCATTTGTATGATCAGCATAGCCTTTGTAATTCCTGTTCAGCTTATATTTTTCAAGTCTATTGAACCACTGCCTGATGTTTCATATTTAAATGTATTTAAGGGAAATAAACATCATTATTCACGCCATAAAATTTGGTGTTATTAATATGCCATTACTCTACATTTCATAAGAATGGAGAACATTTTAAAGACAAAAGTGAATCTAGAAATGGGAGCTTCAGAGAAACACATAAATAGTGCAATACCAGACCTCAGTTTTGAGGAACAAGGGAGAACTCCCTGAAAATTTATGCTTCTTAAAGTATGCCCCAAGGAGTACCTGAGAGTCACCCACTGCTGTGTGGTTAAGTTGAACAGGACTCCTCATCCCTTGACAGAGAGGTGCCTACAAATGCTCTTGACATCTTTATTTTATTTTATTTTTAATTTATGTGTATGAGTGTTGTGCCTGCATGTATGTACATGCATTCATGTCGTGAAGAGCACACAGAGGTCAGAAGAGCATGTCAGATCCCCTGAAAGTGGAGCTACAGACGGTTGTTAGCCACCATGTGGGTGCTGGGATTCGAATCTGGGTCCTCTGCAAGAGCAGCCAGGGCTCTTAACGGCTGAGCCAACTCTCCAGCCCCTGCTCTTGACATCTTTGAAGGTCTGTTCTTCTTCTGACATCCTCTGCCTCCATTTTCCTGCATGTGTTCACCTCTCAGTGTCATTGACATCTCAACTCTCCTGGCAACACGATTCTCTCTGTTCCACAACTGCCCAGGAAGAAAGCACAAAGCTTTTTCCTTTGTTCTTTCTCCCTAAAGTACCCCTAAATATAATGTTTTGGTGGCATAGAATTTACTGAAATTCTAGCACATCAGAGAGAGTTTAATAATAGCACTAGCAGAATTAAGTTGGCTACCTAACAACTAAAAAACTGATATCCCTTAGTATCTCACACAGATTAGAAATAGGGAGACAAACACACACACAGTCTGTAATAGCACCGATCATACAGTTGTGTAAATACTTGTGTTCATGTTTTTCTCTCCACTATCCCATGAAACTTTTAGGATTGGAAAATGTCCTAATCAAAAGTATGTGACCCAAATTTCTCAGGCCAGACCACCCTGGAGCAGGAAAATCACAGAGAGAAAGACAATGATAAACAAACAAAACCCCGTGGTGGTATTGTTGGATTCTGGCTTAAATCCCAGCCCTTCCTCTGTTAAGTTTGCTAAGCAATTCCTGAGCTCTCTCTTTGTTCATTAAAGCTCTCTGAGGCCTGTAACTTTGAGTCCTCCAGTACTTCCTGGTTTTAATTGTAGTCCCTGATTTTGTACCTAGCCATGGGACTGTTCCTCAAGCAGTTCCACACAGTATCTTTGCAAAAGAGAGCGTTTTCAGGAGGTGACAGACAAGTGTGAAGGTGTGAGACCAAAATCTAAAATCTGCCTTCCGGGGTAGAGATTTCAAGGATATTTATGGGATAAAGAAGTAGGTTGAAAGGTGATTGGAAGTAACATATTCAGTGCTCTTTGAACGTGTAATCAATCTTCATGGCTCTTCATGGAACACTTGTTCACAAAATGCCGATATGAACAAGATCCAAAAGTAGAGTTTTCAGCCCTCTTACATCAAAGGTCATACATTCTTCTGCTGCTTAGGCCCAAGACACTACCTGGTAGTTTCAACAAAAACAGCCTTTAAGTCTCTGAAACGTGACCTATGCAACTGTTTTTCACATGACTCACAAATCAGAGGTGTCACCTATAGCAGAGGCACTGGGGGAATGATAAAAGAATGCTCAGCTGTATGACCTCCCAAAGTAGTGATTTTTATACACTCAACTGAAAACAAGTAACTAAAAGCAAGTCAGGCTAGATGGTTTATGGAGGTTTTTCTTGGATTTCAAGAGCAGTTCCACTCATTATTCTTCCTCTTCACATTTCCTGCTACTGTTCTACTTTGCTTTCCCGTTGCTGTGATAGACCCATTACCAAAGAGCAATTTGGGGAGGAAAGGGTTTATTATAGCTTACATGTTACAGTCTGCCATCTAGGGAAGCCAAGGCAGAGCCTCCCAGGAACTGAAGCAGACATCATGGAGGAATGCTGCTTACTGGCTTGCTTTCCCTGGCTTGCTCAGTCAGCCTCCTTACATAGCCCAGGCCCACCTGCCCAGGGATGGCCCCACAGTGAACTAGAGCCCCCTCTGCATCAATTGCCAATTAAGAAATAACTCACAGACATGGCCACGGGCCACATCTAATGGGGAAAGCTGCTCAACTACAGTTCCCTCTTCCCAGGCATCTCTGGTTTGTGTCAAATTGAGAAAACTAACCAGTGCAACTGACCCCTTTTCAACTTGACAAACACATCACGACGTAACCATAATCTTTCCTTTCTTGTTTTATTCCCAGGATCCTATGTTAATATAATAATATAAAATGCAGTGCAACCTTAAAAGTCCTACACGTTTTAAGACATCCAAATTACCTTTGAAAATCCAAAGTCTCTTAACTGTGGGCTCCCGTTAAATACTTTCTTATTTCAAGAAGAAAGCACTGGGCACATTTAAGCAAAACCAAACCCCAGCACTGTACCTCAGTATTAGACATCTGTGATTTACTCACAATCTTCTGGGTTCCAAAATGCTTGGGCACTTCCAGTTATCTGGCTCTGCCGCATGCAATACACACAGCTTATTTCTTAGACTTAGGCCAGCTCCATTCCACACTTTCCACTGTCTTTGGTGGTCATGGCATGGTGCTGGCATCTCCAATATTCTGAGGTCTTCACTGCAACTGAAGCTGTGCTTCACCAGTGGCCTCTCCCAGCCTCTCATGGTGCCAAGCCTCACCATTTTGTCATGACCCTTTCAGTTCTGGGGCTTTCACGCCACAAAAACCAGGACCATACGGGAGACTCTTTATACATTATTTGGCAAGTTCTGCTGCCAGATTGATGTGCAGCCTTGCCTGCTCCCCATGACCCTGACTCCTGTACCACGGCTTCTGTGCACTGGTCCTGAGGAAATACTTGCCATATTGCACCTCAGTGATGTTGTCTCTTATTAACCACAGCTGGTTTTTCAGTCCCAGCTAGCCAGCATACATTGTCCCAGGAAAGCACAGAAGGTTTCACTTCCATAGATTCTGTAATTCAAAACATCACACAAATGGCCCAGATAGATTCCTTGAGGGACTCCCAAACTTGCCTTTGAAACTAACAAACCAGGCCTCCACTGTCTGTATTTCTCTAAACATCCTCATCTTTCAACCTCCCACAACAGCATATAAAGCTCTGAACATGCAATGGCTTTTCCGGCCCCAAATTCCAAAAACTTCCACAATCCTTCCCCAAAACAAAATGGTCAGGTCCAGCTCTCTGGTACCAATTTCTGTTCCAGTTTGTTTTCTTCTTGTTCTGATAAAAACGCTCTGATCAAAACAACATGGGGAAGAAAGGGTTTATTTCAGCTTATAAGTCTCAGGTCACAATCCATTACTGAGGGAAGTCAGGCATGAACCCAAGGCAGGACCCTAGAGGTAGGTCCCTGGAGGCAGGGACCTGGAGGCAGGAACTGAAGCGGAGATGATAGAGGAATGCTGGTTATTTGCTTTTCTTCCCCTGGCTTGCTCCATTACCATCCACATACAGCCCAGGCCCACCTGTCCAGAGATGGCACTGCCCACAGTGGACTGGGCCCTGCTGCATCAATTATCAATTAAGAATATGAGTCATAGAAGTGGCTGTGGGTCAGTCCAATAAAGGAAACTCCTCAACTGAGGTTCTATTTTCCCATGTAACTCTAGTTTGTGTCAAGTTAACAAAAAAAGAACCAGCACAGGAAGTGACCCAGTCACTCCTCTCCTGACACTGTTCTCTTGCCCTCCCTTTTATGACCTTGGTGCTGATGGCTTCCCCTTTCTAATTTGTTTATTTTTTATTTATCATTTTTATGTATATAGTTGTATTGCCTGCATCTGTGTAAGTGCACCCGTGCCATGCAATGCCTGCAGAGGTCAGAAAAGGGTGTCAGATCCCATGGAATTGGAATTACAGATGGTTGTTAGGTGCCATGTGGGTTCTGGGAACCAAAGCTGAGTCCTCTCCAATAACAGCCAGCGCTGTTAACCACTGAACCATCTCTCCAGTTCTTAATTTTGCTACTTTAAAAATCAAGTTTCTGAAAGGATTCACACATAACTAGGTTTTATAAAATTTACTTGGCAGTTGATTCCTTGCTTTGCTGTTTCATTCATTTTCTTGACTCCACACTCCTCCATGATAGTTGGGTTAAGTTCCCTGATTGCCGAGCAGAAGACAACCCAAGTGACTGAACACCACAAGGTTAAAGACGACTCTCTGTTCATTCTTGTCTGGTTGAAAAAAAAAAAAAGAGGGGCCAAATCATTGACAAGGAGAAAGGACCTATGTTTAAGGACAAGCTCTGCCACCCAGTCTTATGGTGAAGTGGAACAACCTCACAGGGATTCAGTTTCATCATTTATCAAATATGGATGGCAATACCATCTCCCCACATTCCAGAGTTCACCATTTCACTTGCATTACTAGTAGTGGGGAAAAAAGAGCAATCCAACATGCTTTACCAATCAAAGGGCTTATTCTAAAGAAGCAAAACTCTGGACAAATCCTAAAAATTGGTGGCCTCTGGCAAGTTCTTGTCTTATATTGAGTCCCTGAGTTAACTGTTTCTTGACTGAAAGTGGCTACAGCTCCCTTAATGCCATTTAGATGGACAGCTATGGGGTGGGGGGTAGACCAAAACTGTATGCCACCTGACTTGACCCTTCTAAATCCCTCTGTATTCTTTCTCCTCAGTTCCCATTACTCTTCAGGAGATCTGTATTGGGCCTCTGGGGCTGGGTCAGGATGGTGCTGGTCTTTAAGGATATGTGCTACCTACTCTCCTTATTGCTGTGATGAAACAAATACCGAACAAAAAGGCAACTTAAGGAAGGAAGGGTTTATTTTGACTCACAGTTTAAGGATACAGTCTGTCATGGTAGGGAAGGCATGGCAACTGGAATGTGATGGACTGACACAACTGAATCTGATGGACGGATTGCACCTACAATCAGGAAGCAGAGAAATGAATGCTCGTGTTC